TTCCTTGGCCATTTTATACATCAACTGATATCCTTCCTCATGGGGCTGCGTGCTACAGCCTAGCAGAGCTCTGGAAAGCCCTCTGAAACCACAACTAATTTGGCCCCAGTCGCCCGCCCCTGTAAATTCACTGCTGAGAGGCTGCTGCCAGCCCCCTAGGCAGAAACTATGAAGGGAGAGGGAAGTTCCCCCCCGGCTCGCACGCATACCAGTGCCGGTCCCCACGGCCAAACAGATCTGGAAACTCATCGCAGCTGTGCTCTGCTTCTGAGGTCTCAATAGGATGGGGCATAGCGCGGCCGGACCGCGGCAGACAGCAGTCCTTCTGAGCACAATGTCCCTTTCACAACCCCACTCCCAAATCTAAATGCTGGCTGTGTAACACAGCCGCACTTCATCGGCTGCGTAAAGGGCGGTATATAAATTAGACCTGAGCAAAACCAGTCTTTTGGCGTGTTTAGGGGAGGTGGAACCACAATCTGCCGACCAGGGCGCCTCATTCCCCGTGCGCCCCTGAGCAAAGCCCCTCACCTTGGCTGGGCTGCAGCGCTGGTGTGACGCACACATGGTTAACAAAAACAGCTCAGCAGTAAGTGGGGATTTAACTGGATGTGAGGATGACTAACTTCGCTGTTTGAAACACTATCTCGGTCTTTCAACTCCTTAACTCACCCTCTTCAAGGCATCGCCTCACCAGCCTGGCTTTGTTCTTACAAGTTGCACCTTTGCTGCACAGACTCATTAGGCAAGCAGGGAGTCACCCAAAGATACATTGCTTTTCCTCCAAGCTTATCCCATCCTGACTTCACCAGCGAACGCCTCTCATCATTTTTGTCTGCAGGAGTTTTTGACAGCGGTGCGTGTCCATTAGAGTTTTCCTGTGCCAGCAGACGAATCAGGCTAACTGCATTAGAATCTATGTAGAGAATAGTTTCCTCCTTTCAATTAATTTGGAAGAAAAATATCCCCATGCAATTTTTTTTTATGTAGTGGATCAGAAACAAACATTTTTTAATAACATATTTCAGGGCATTAAGCTAGAAGTATAAAAATTTAAACAAAGACTGTATCCCTAAGCAAATCAATCCTAGCAATTTAGCTGTAAAGTTTATAGATGAACTTTAAAGAAAATAACCTGGTTCAAACAGATCTTGCCTTCTGGGCACTAGCAAACACACCTGCAGCAATTTGATACTTGGGAATGCAGATTACAAGTCCTTCACTTCAAAATGTTTGTTTTTAAATTCAGAAAGATGAAAGAAAATAAAGTAGTGAGCTTTTTTTTTTGTTGAGCACAGATGTTTCCAGCGCTTGCAGGGAATGAGAATCTGACCCAAACATTGCAATAATCCAGAATTCTGAAGGAAAACATACACCTTCTGGAGTCCCATCTTCATGAACTTTCTAAAAGTTAACATCCGCTAGCTCCTCTCTAGGCAAACACTTCCTACCAAACTGAAATAAGAACTGCATACCACACGAGCCTCAACATCCCAATGTGTTCTGCTGCCATATCCATAACTTTTGCCTTCATCAAATTTTTCATGCTTCTAACCCTAAGGAAATGCAGTAGGCAGTAGTCTTCTACTTGATATAATTAGCTGAAACACTACATAATGACAAACAAACTTACTCTTGTTTTGGGCCTGCTCATTTGTTTTTTTGCCTGTTTAATTAATGAAGACTAATGAAGACTTTTTAAATAGGCTTTTCCAAGGTCAAATCGCTATTCTTTGCAGCTCCTCTCTCAGGACCTGTCCTGTTCCCACTTCTGCAGTATTTAGTTAGCTCACGTTTCACCAAAAGTTACTGGTTTTCTCTCGGTGTTTGTTGCCGCTGCACTACAAGGGAGCAGAAAATTCTACCTTACTTAAGAAACTATAGATTATTCATTCTTGCAATCTCAATTCTTTTGTTCTTTTAAGAACCCTCCTTGTCTAATTTGATTATACTGACCTGATTTTTATCTTATGACAAAAGGAGTGAGAATGAATTATGATTAAAAGTGCAGTTGGTTCTACTCTCATTTCTGAGTCCATAATTTTCTTTGCAAACAAATAATTTCATTTTAAATCTCCTAACTAATATCACATCAAACATCAACATATGTGAGTGCAAAATTAGGGGCGATTTCTGCGTGTTTGTAAAACATCGCACAATACTCAGTGGTTAACGGTTGCACTGCAAACCCATGGCAGATTTTTCCTCCCACAGGGGAGAGGAAAAAAATACCACACAAGTTAAGGTCATGTTTGGGTTGTGCCTTATCCTCTATTTTTACTTTGCAGACCCTCATGGACTAGAAAATTCATGATGCTGCAGGAGTGCGCTAGCTTAGTGAATCGTAATAGGATTAACGTACTGAAGATGTGCTGAAGTTGGAGACCTACAGCATTCTGCCCTAAACCCTGCAATGGCCAATTTTGCCAGCGTTTCAGTTGAAACCCTGATGCTGTCTGGGATTGTTACTGGCCTGCTCTGAGTCTGCACTATCCATGTACTATTCCCTCAACAGCCATTTATGTTTTACTCTACAATCACGTCTCTATCAAAGCAATATTTCCAAGGCCTAAAGCAAGGGCTGCAGGTGTACTGCTTTTTTTTTTGCAGAACCAAAAATAAAACAACAAAGTAGACCAAAAAAACCCTATCTATCACACATCTAACAATTACAAAACTTGGCTATTATTACATTCCATTTAATCACAGAGATTTTCTTAAAAAAGGAGAATCAGGAAATGCTTGAGTTAGAATTAAACTTTGCTATCTTTGTATTTATAAGCACTGGAGCAACCTTTAAACTATTAAAAGCTTTCTGGACCGCAAAAAATCTGGTTTTGTCATTATTTTCATGAGATGCCAGATAAAAATCTTACACTTTGAGAGAATTTTGGTATTTTAAAATCGATTTATATATTTACTCATATGCATAAGCTGCTTACACTTTCTTCAAAACTGAAAACAAAATTTGCTCTAGTAATCAAACAGTAATCTTAATTTGGACCCTAACTAAATTGTTTTTCCATGTTTCTATACATTAACTTTCACAATTCAAATTACAGTCATCGTATTATGATTCAGGTTTCGGCCCAATTTTAAATTCCCATGCAGTGAAGATTAATCCTATTGCTTACAAAGTTACAAGACTGGATTCCTGAATGCATTTTCCTGTATTTTTAGTTATTCTTGTTAATATGAGTTTCTTTGATTAGCTAAACTTTGCTGTTATCTACACTTGTCTCTTATCACAGGCCCTAGGCAAATGACATATTTACCACTCATTCCATTCTGATAAGGGTAATCCTGTGTTTAACTTGCCCAAGAACAAACGCCATATATTTTGTTTTTAAGAATCCTGCTTCTAGGTACTAACAACATACAAAAGAATGAGCAGGACGTTTTAAAAACAGAAGTTATTTAAAGAATATTTTGTGAGTGTAAGCTTTTAACGACAGTATATGCCTCCTACTCCAGCAAAGTTTATTTAATTCCAAGTTTCCGCAATATCACCGCTGAAGTTATACTAAAGTTTAAACCATGAAAGGAGGAAAACACATTTTTAGTAAAACATCTGGTTTGGATTTTTGTTTTTGCTAACTGAAGCTCTCCTGTAGCTAGTAACATTATTTTGAAGTAAAAGTTTTGTTTCATAATTTATTTGAAGCATTTTGAAAACAGTGCAAAGAAAATAAATATCCCGTGCTGAACTTCACAGTCTCCTTTTAATTGTAAAGATATCAAATCATTTGCAGTGTTGTAGGCTGGTAGTCACCATTCTTTACAATTCTGTTTTCACTACTCAACCCACACAAAAGTCATATGGTGACTGAAAACTTTTGAGCAGAGTGAAGCACATTATTTCACCAAACAGTTTTACATTTATTTTTCAATTCCTCCCTCCACCCCTCAGAGATATTGAAGGGAGAACTCTTCTAATTCCTAGTTAACTTTTTAACATACTGCGAAACGAAAATTTAAAACAGATTGATACAGTTAATGGCATACTGAAGTGCCCGAGAGCGTGCTAAAAACATTTTGATAGATAGCCAAGTCATTTATCTAAATCACCGTCAGAGCAGTGAAGCATCCTGCAAGTTTTTATGCAGAGTATAAGCTAATGTTTTCTGGCACTTTTTGTCATTTCTCAAACTTGAAACTGGGGTGTTAAAATACTGCTATTGTTTACCATCTATATATTTCAGCAACAAATCAAGGCCTTATAAAATAATAGTACATTTTCAGAAGCGTCATACCACTAACTCTCACTCCTCTGTTAGCAGTGCAACGCTGTCTGCATTTCAAGGTATAGAAATAATTGATGGTTAAACTCAAAGGGTGTTCACAGTAAGTAGTTTTCTAGCAAAACAGCAACTTCTTAGAGCAACAAAGTGAAGAAGAAAGGTGGCAGCAAGGTCAGTACAAAGAAATATTGCCTTTTCTTCGGAAACTTAAAACTTCTGTCTGATTTTTGGAATGGCACCTACCCACTGCAATTCCACATCTTTGCAAGAACTGTAGAGAGCAGTATTTTAATTGCTTGGCTGCTCTGCTAAAATGCACTTCAAGACAACATGCATCCTGATTATCAAACGTGCTACAAAATTAGATTAAGGAGAAAAAAAAAGAGCTATCACAGAGACGTTATGTAAATTCATCCTTCACTGGCTGGAGTTTTGCAAGTATTTGCTGTATTACATTACAATTTTATGTGTTCCTGTTTGGCTCCACAACTGTTCTTAGGATCAATGTGCCACATGAGAAGGGATAAACAGAAAGAAGTCCGGTGCTTCTTTCCTTTTTCCTTTCTTGCCAAATGGATAAAAAAAGCTTGCAAACCACATTTTGCACAAAAACTCACCCCACCCCTCATTACCTCTGCACTTAATTACGAGTCTTCCTTTTTAAAATACATACAAATAAATAAATAAATGAAATAATAATAACAACAATAATAATTATAGTAATTGCTTTAAAGTGGAAAAATAACAGTTGGGACCTACATTGAGCACTGTGCCGGTGTTGCCACTCTGTTTGTGCCAATCCACTGAAGCATGCTTTGAGAGCCTTCTCCTGGAGCATGCAGGAAGACGGACTCGCAGTGTAGAAATCCAGCATCTGAGCAGGGCTCACTGCTAGAACGTCCATACAGTCAAACATGATTCCCCTTGCACAGAATGCCTGCAAAAGTGCTTTCCTCTAGGTGTGGAGGAAAATGGCACATAAAAGTACACCCAACTCCATCAAACTCTGCCCCTTTTTTGGCACGTAGGCTGTTGGTCTTTTTCCCAGACCAGAATCATGAATTATGACAGACAACACAGCTAAAAGCCTGTAATTGATCCAAATGATCATTTACCATTTTCCAGGCTGCCCAGCCAATCCAGCAAGATGGGGGGATGCGAGCCGCATTCCAAGTTTTAGCTACCACCAATTTCCCCCAAAATTTCTTGAGAGTCAGTCCAGCTCCTGCGGCAATCGCCGGGTGCGTGCCGCGTCCCACGCCGTGCCAATCGCCCACCTCCCCGGGATAAAACAGCTCCGGTAGAGGCTCGGGATCCCCCTCGGCCGTGAATAGATGCTTCTGCCTCTGAACAGCTCACTTCCTACTACTTGTGTCACAGGGAATGAAAGATTGAATTGCCTAATATATGCGAGTGAACTTTCCGTGAACCCTTCCCAGGCTGCTAACCTTCAAATGACCCAAGCGGTCTGACATCACCAGCTCCCAGGATTCTCACACGCCTTCACAACTCCCAGCAGCCCTGCAAAAAAAGCAGGCAGGCAGGCAGGCAGGCGGGCAGGCAAAGGCGAGCCCCAGCTCTGCCGGAGTCGCCCCGCTGCCGCCGAGCGGGCGGGTGTGGACGGGGAGCCCAACTTCCCAAAAGACCCAAAATAATAAAGGAATTAAAACAAAAACAAAAACACACAACAGTGAGGAGAAGGGGAACGGGGTGGGAAACAAACAGCGATGTTTTCAGCAGTTGTAGGGAAGGGAGGATTTTTGAATTCCAGTTCGATTTTCTAAAACTTCTGTACCTCCCCCCCCCCCACACACATTCCTTTCCTCCCCGGAGAGGCCAAGAGCGAGGCGCAGGCGCTGCCGCTGTTCCACAGCCAGGGACACGGGCTTCGCCCCGGCTTCTGGGGCGGCGGGTCTGGGCTCGGAGCAGCTTCATCCCAGCGCTGCCCCGGCACACGCCAGCAGGGACCCCGCTCAATGCCACCCGCAGGGACCCCGTTCAATACCACTCGCAGAGACGATGGCCGGTTCCGGCCCCACTCCCAGCGGGGAATCTCAGGGGCCCGTCCCTCCTCAGGCGTGGGGGAGTCAGGCCCCATCTCTCCTCACAATCCCTCCCTCACGTTGGCTTCTAAATCACCCAGCACTCCCTGGCTTCCCCGATGGGCCGGATTTGGCAGTGCCCGGGAGGGCTTGTCCCCACCACTGAGCCTAGGGCAGGAGGCAGCCACGCATCGCCTCTTCTCCCTCCTCAGCCCCGCCGCCGGGTCCTGCCTGTCTCTGATTAGCAGAGAGGGGCTGGGGCCGCTCCCGTGGCCCCGGAGGGGCTGTATCAGCTTTCAGAGGCCTAATGAGACCCAGCTCTCCGGGAGGGGACAAAGGCCACGAGCTAATCCATGGGGAACAGAACCCAGCCCATGGTGCCGAGCAGGGACACTGTGGCTGCCCCCTCCCAAGCCACCCCTTCACAGCCGTTCTGGAGTCAAGGGGCTGCTCCCACCCACCAAGGTCTCTATGAAAACAGTGGTGGCAGCTCTCCCTCATGGCAGGAGTAGGTGTCAAAGCCTTCACAGGTGTGTGGCCAGGATGCCACAGCCAGCCCTGGGCTGACCCACCATTTGCAGCAGGCCAGCAGAGAGCTCTGTGTTTTTTAGGTAAATAACTACCTTCTGCAAAGTCTTGCTCATTGAGAAAGACTCCATCGAGGCTTCCAGCAGTCCTCATTCCTATGGACAATTTAAAAATGAAAAGCAACAGCCTGGAAACACTCCCTTTGCCCCAGTGGAAAGAACATGAGCTCAATAACCACATACATGCTACCATTTTAAATGAATGAGCCAAGCCACCTCAGCCCCAGCAGAGTGACCATCACCCAGGAGCAAGGCACAGAGGAGCCTTGCTTCCCGCTCCAAGGAAGCTCAGATTCAGAAACTGGAAAACGAAAAGCTTGATTATTGCCTGTTTCTTGCAAAGCCCAACATGGGGGTCGGGCAGAGAAGGGGACACTGTGCGCAGGCATGGCGCACCACTGGCAACCGTAAAGAAATGCTGGAGAGAGACTCACCCTGGGACCTGCGCAGCCACTTTAATGGATGTGGTGTCCCCTCTCCACAAAAAGTCCTTTGATGAACCGAAAGCTCTCTGACAATGCCTGCAGATTGTATTAACAAAACTTTTCACACAGGTTCAAGAATTAAAAAAAAACCAAACCAACTCACAAAACAAAACCCCCCACACAGCACAGACACTTGTTCCCTGAAACTGATACACCCACGTTGAAAACTAGAGGCCAGCAAAAAGAGCTGCTGCAATCTGGAAGCGAATCCTTTTGAAGAGATAAAAACAAAAGCTTTTCTTAGCCTCCTTCCCCTCGACGGGAGAGTTGTGGTTGTCCGTGCAGCACGCAGCCTCTCTTCCCGTCTTTTCTTCAGGCAGAAGAGTTACAAATGCTAGAGTTTAACAGCTTCTTTTTAAGGACTTTTTAAGGACTTTCTCAGCCCTTTGGGGTGTCGTCCCCTAGCCTGTACCCCTCCAGCTGAAGAAGCCCCTGACACTCTCTAATCCAAAATTTATGGACAGCATACGCTTACCAAAAAAACTATCCTTCAGGGAAGGCTTGTTTAAACCACTTCAGCACAGCAAACAGTGTTTGTTGTATTAAAAAGGCAAGTGGAAAAGCGGCTAAATTTCTGTTTATATCTCAGCTGGCTATATTGCTACAATTTTGTTTTGAATAGCAAAGCTAAATTAAAAGACAGTATTTTCTAACCAGAGGACACAGGACACACGAGAAGTTTGGAATATGTAATGTGTCACCACAAAAATAACTGGAAAGGATGACATAAAACACAGTATGTTTTGTCAGTCTCCAATTTAGGGAGAAAACAGCTTTTTGTGTGGACCAAGGTTCTTGGAACAATTTAAGCTTATGCCAAGAAAAACATGTTGCCCATGTGAGTTAAAGTAAACAAAATCAGACAAACAGAAACATACAGTTATGTTTTTTTCTATTAGCAGTCTTAGAATACTGTATTCAAAAATAAAACCTGTTGGTTATACTCAAAACATAGACCGGCAACTTCTGAAAGTAAATGTCGGGAAGTCACGCTTTACTGCGTATGAACTGAAAAAAGATTACTTTTTCTCACTGTATCTAAATGAGCCAGGTAGCTCATGCTTTATTACGAATAATAGTTGCACTAATTTTTATACTTCTTACTAAAACCACATGTAATTAACAAATTCCTCAAACAGCCCAATGGTTTGCTCTCATATTATTTCTACAACACAGTAATCTATGCATCTCATATTTCACTTTGAAATAGTATGATACTCATTTTTCTTAAACAGAGTATCAGGAAAAAATCATAAAATGGGGGGTATTTTCTAATCTAGATCAGAACTAACCATAATTATTGTGATAACTAATAGCCCTCTAAGTCAAATGTAATGAAACTTTAAGTATTGCCACATATTTTAAATGCCTACCCAGCTCCCATAGAAGTGCAAGGAGGCAAAGGAGGCAACAACTCTCCAATATCTTCCACTTTATCCATGCAAAGAAATTGTGACTTCAGATCATTGCTTTGATCTGTTTCCTCTCAGACTGTGATAGCAGAAACTTTACAATAAACATATTCTTAGCTATAAGTAAAATAAAAAGCTCAAGTCAGAAATCTATTTCCTTTGGTGTTACTGTATATTTGTCAGTGTGACATAGCACATTTGAAACCCATAATCATAAAACAAAAATTTACAGCCAAGGTTTAGGGTCTACATCTGTTTCTCTGGTTTTTGTATTACAATTACCCACTGGACAATTCAGAAAGCAGCACTATGAATCATGTACTGCACACATGGTTGTGCTGGTCACTTTTTCGTTAGTACAAGAGGCTGAGGATGCCATAATATGGTTCAACAAGAGAGAGAGAGCTTTAACTAGAATTAGGATGAGTACACCAGGCTCTCTAATAAAAATTACTTTACTAGAAGCAACAGAGTACTTGAACATTACAGGCATATTTATAGGTTGGAAAAATTAAGAAATACATGCAAAAATTCTCCCAATAGAAGTACCTCAGGGGAGGCAGCCTTTTTTTTCCTTTGCATCCATTTTACTATTAATCAAATGTAGCACTCTCTTGAAACAGTTTTGACAGCAGAGTAAATGGTTACTAGTGAATGATGTGTGTGTTTAAGCAGTGAAAGCAGAGACAAAGTGATGTTTTCTTCTACTCCCTAGGCAAGAACTGACACTAAGCTTGCTGCCTCAGCTTTGATACTCACAGATTCCTTTGTGTCAGTTGCTGGGAGAATCACTGGCAGTTCACTAACCCTGCCTCACACATGGGCTTTGATTCTTACCTCTTCATTGACGATAGATGTTAATATGAAACAGTATTTGTCTGCTTTGATGGGTTTTTTCCTTTTTTTTTTTTTTTCTCCTCCCAAACTGGTGATACAAGGTTTCAAATCTGAAAACTTGAATTCCCCCTTCACTACATGTAGTTTTTAGTGTTAAAGGATGTTTTCCTCGTGTCTCAAGCACATGAATGATGTCAAAGATTATGGGGAAGAAAATCACTAGGTCACAAGAGAATGGCTGAATATTTAAAACTCTAAGGTAGGCCTAGTAAATGAGTATCAATCTTGAGCAAGAATCACCCTGAAGAAAATAAAACAGTAAAATTACTGGCATGAAATGGCGCAAATGACTCGGAAAAACATGAAATACAGTGAAATTAAGTCAAAAAGGGGTTTCTTCTGACTGCTATATACTACTATACACAGCTTGCAATGACCAAAACAGGAATTTGCACATAACAGGAAGAATTACTTCAGGCCCGAAATATAACAGCAACTGGCGAAAGACTATTCGGTGCAGAGCAGTATTTTATTTTAGATGGGAAAAGCAGCTCCAGACCAGAACTTGGGCATGCAAGCAGTCTGCGAATCACTTACTGATAGAGGCTTTTTGTCTGTCTTAATCAGTGGGTATGTATTCGTAAAACTGCCTTTAAAGCTGATTGCTTAACTTAAAGGCTATAAAAATAATTCATCTCCACAAACTCGAACACACAACCACGTTTCTTAGAATCCATACAGTTCTTTGGCCTGGAGCCAGGGGTAAAGAACTGCCCTATATGATAAAACTGGAAGTGTATCTGGCTCAGCAATCTATTTCTAAGAGGGACTGCTACTAGACCTTTCTAAGGAAAATAAAGGAATCTCTAGTGAATGGTGAAGTATAACTCACCCATAGGTCCTCTAATAGCCGGTTCTTTAACAGCAAATCACTTAAGCATTTAAAGCATGAGATTTAATATCCCTTCCAAATTTGTTTTTGGTAATAGCCCTGATATTCTAGATATTCATATATAATCAATGTCTTTTTGGATTGTGATAAATTTGTAGCTCTTTGACACAGAAGTAGATAGTAAGTTACTGGGCTTTGAGACAAAGGATAATTATTAAAAAAAACCCCAAAACCGAAACAAAACCAAAAAACCCACTATAAAACTCATCCACATTACAAATAAAGAAGACAGACCAAACTACACCACTCTGAGGCCCCAAAGGCTGACTGCTGTAGGCTCCAGAAAGGTTGGCAAAGAGGAAATGATGTCATATGCATAAAGAGAGAACGATATGCATTTTTGAAGGATGTAAAAAGAAAAAGCATTATTAGATTAAAATTGGCTACATTCTGAATCTACACTTGCTGTTTAGGAGGATCCAGCAGTGCAAACATCACTGCTAAATGGTTGTCAGAAAAAAATAGAAGTGAGGGAAAAAAGGTTTGTTTCATTTTGTTTTCTTTTTAAATGACCAGAAACTGCTGTTTCAAGGCTTAGCCAAGAAAGAGATTTTTACTACTAGCCTATAAATCCCTCAAAACAGAGTTATAATGGAAATGCTGAGGTAACTGGAGTGCCATGCATGGCACTGACACATTGCATTGTATAATGGAGGGAGAATGAAGGTTGCGAGATCTATAAAACCAAAGTAGAAGTGTGGTGTATGAAAGAGCAGAAGAGCAAGTAGAAATGTTGAATATTAAACTGCAGAGAATACTACGTCTAACAATAAAGTTTCCTGTATGCCAAATATGCTCATGCTTGGCTGAAAGCAAAAGAACGCAGAGCTCCATTAAAACTAAAAGAGAGATTTAAAAAGGATATTTGAGTAACTACTTTGTTTCTGCCTTCTTTAAGGAGGGAAACAGAAACTACCTAAGAAAAGGATAGTATTCCTGATGTTCTGATATCCTGGAAGGTGTCTCGGAATACATAAATAAAAAATGTTAGAAAATGCAGAATAAATGGGAGTTCCAAACACAGATGACTTACAACCCTAGCTGTAACCAGAATCAGAATAGAAAGTGGGACAACTGTTTCTATAGGTTCACTAATGGCAGCTTAAACTTTTAGTGCAAAGATAGCCCCGATGGCTTTCTTCCAGCAAAAGACCAAAATTACCAAGCAGTAACTGGAACTCCAGCTCAGTACATACCTATAT